CTCCTTCCCCTCACTTGAGAGGAAGCACTTTCTTCAATCAGGAATCTAATAAATTTTAAATTGTAAAATATCTTTTATTTTTTTAATTTATTTTTTTCCTTAAAATTTAAATGTTTCTCTGACTCCGACCTTTTTAGTTTATATGAATTTGACCACCATCCGGCGCCGCAAACATTAATCAACTCAACAGGGAAGCGAAAAAGAAAGGAAAGCAATTCTTGATTTTGTCCTTAAGACAGTCACAATTTTCTTCACAGTTCAGTTCGAGTCAACAAAACCATCCTCTCTAGTCAACAGTCAACTCACTTACCCCTTCAAGCCTGCCAGCTTTCTTTTCTCAAATGAAATTCCTATTCTGCCCTCTGCCTCTCCTCAGGCCTTCACCATGCTTCCTCTGGTTTTCCTCTTCACGCTCATCTTCCTCCTTTCCGCCCATGGAACGCATTCCTCTTGCCAAAACGATACTTCTACCTTTCCCAACTGCAACCAGACCTTCTCATGTGGGGCCCTCCAAAACCTCTCTTACTCATTCACCGGAGGGCCTCGTCCGTTATACTGCGGCCCGCCCGGATTCCTCCTCACCTGCACCGACGACGGAATCCCCCAGTTAATTATGGACTCACTGAGTTACAGGATCATCCAACTCGACCGAAACATACAGAGCATGACGCTTTCCCGCTTGGACCAGTACAACAACACATGCACCCACAAATTTGCTAACAACAATCTGAGTTCCCCTTTATTCAATCTCAGCCCAGACAACCAAAATCTCTCGCTGTTCTATGGGTGTACTCCGGTCCAGGCGTATACTCCGGAGAACCTGTTCTGGTGCGGAGATGGGACTTCTAGTAGTGCCGCGTACCATGTGTTGGGTCCAGTTCCGAACGATCCCATATTCAAGATTATTCGCTGTAACATCAGCATCAAACTGCCCCATGTTGCAAGCTGCGCCGGATAAACTTGAGACCAGTAGGTCTACTCTTAGGGAAGCTTTAATGGAGGGATTTAGCGTGAATTATACTACTCCAAATGCGGACGATTGCGCTAGGTGTCGTGATTCGGGTGGGGAGTGTGGGTTTTTGGATCAGTTTGTTTGCATTTGTGTCGATCGAATTTGTGACATACCAGGTATTCCTGATGAGGTATTTCATGTTGATTTTGGCCCATCTATATAAATAATTCTTATAGTCTGTAAGATTATAATAACAGCAAAGAATTTTTCGAAGGAATGTTTTGGGGTTGATTTGTTCACTTTGCTATCTATGTGATAATGTTGGTTCTTTGCCTAATTTCTAATTTCTGCATTTGCTTCCAGAACCATAATTAAGTTCACCTAAACTTCTGCGGTATAGCTTGGTCTATCTTGATGTTCGATTGTTACAATTCTGTCATAGATGTTTTTACTGAATTTTTGAATCTTGTGATTGTTGCAGATAAGAAAAAAATACCACTCGTTACAGGTAATTGTCCTTAATATCTTATATTTTTCTAGCATTAACATTTTTACCAAAGGTGAGTTACAATTTGAACATTCTTTTCTGCTTTTGATCTTTAGACCTCTTTATAGCTGGTGGAGTAATTGCTGGTATTCTTCTGGGCGTCTGGTGCTTATTCTGGATACAGACAAGAAAGAGAATTGCTGCTCAATCTCAAAGCAAAGGCTTGCCTGCAACTCCTCCATCTGGCAAAGTCCTGGGCCCTGCTACCATCTCCGCCTCATGTTATTGTTGTACCTCCGTTACAAGATTAAATAAAAATAATAATTAATAAACTTATAAAAAAATATATATTAATAAGAAATTGTCATTTAAACAGACGTGAAAAATTTATTTACTTTAAGATGATTCATATCTCTGTAAAAAATAAATCGATCGGTGTAACAAAGATATACATAGTATATTGCCCCTAGGATGTTATAGTTTTATAATTATACTATATGAATTTGCACTACTTATAGAGTCACTTAACTCAAAATACCCTATTTTGCCCAAAAATATTTAAAAGATAAAGTAAGGTAAGAAAAATAAAAGAATACGAAAGAACACATTTAGTTGAGCAAAAAGACATGTCCTATATATAAGAATTATGGTTATATAACTTCCATTTGTAAGTTAATTATAGGAATAAATTGAGCAATTATTATGAAATAATGTATCATTAGGTAAGGTAATTAGCTTATAAGGACTAGTTTGATCAAATCTTTAATACGAAAATAAATTTAATTTATAAAATATATTATTTTATTTTTATTAAAATATTTAAATTTCAACAATTCCCCCACTATTTTAATAAAAAATAATTATTAAATCTTTCTTTTGGGTAAAGATGGATTTTTTTTTTTGGTACATAAGAAGCCATGCAAGGTTAAATCATAAGGAACAAAGTTCCTATAACATCCCCATAAAGAATGCGACTGATGCCTGGTGTTGGAGATTAGAAAAGTGTGAGGCCTTGAGGAGAAGTGTGACCCATAGCAACCATATAATCAGCTACTCCATTGCCCTTTTTAAAGGTGTGCTGCACCTTGCATGCAACAAAAGAGTCCAAATAATGGAAAATGTATGAGAGAAGCACTGCGGCTGAACCCTTCCCAGTGTTCCTTGCCTGAATAGTTTGGATAGCCATGAGTGACACCTAACTCAAAAGCTAATTGTAAACCATCTCGACAGCACCAAAGCTCAGTCATATAAATGGATTGGGGTCTAATATTGACAGCAAATCCATAGAGCCAACACCCTCCATGATCGTAAATGAGCCCACAAACACTGGGCAAAGATGGATTATTATGCATAATAAAAGCAACTAAGTCTTGAACCTTTACTTAGTGAGTCAACAATACTTAGTCTAAAGTCAATAGTGAACTATAGCTTGAACTATGACCCCATTGGAAGATACAAGAATTGTATCACACACATAATGATCTGAATGTTGAGTTTTTCACACAGCTAGTGTATTATGACCTTGCACATGATCCCGATTTTCATGGGTGATATAGAAAATTGCCCATCCAATTTTCATAGAAGCAGTTTCACTTCAATGCCCACATAGGTGAAATTTGTCAAGGATGCACCTATAACTAAGACACCCCACTCAATGAGTTACAAATTTCATTAAGAATATAAAACTCAACTCTCAATTCATTATGGAATAGATGCATTCTCACCTTAGGAATGAGACTAAAAATTTTTCTATTAAATATTGATGCATCTCTCAATAACGACTTCTTTATGATTCATTTTTCCCATTCAAAACCCAATTCTTGGAATTTAGGTTGGGTATCCTCATAAGAAATTCTACATTATTGGGCTTAAATCCCATTCCCCTTTATGTGCACTAGACCTTGCACTATGATTATAGTTTTTCCTCCAACCTTTCCCTTTACCAAAGGCCTAGTTGGTGGTCAAGGGTAATGAAGAGATTTAACTCTTTTTTTTCTCATTTTTTCACATCAACCCACATATCTACTAGCTCATAAAATTCACATTTATATTTCTCAAATTCTCAATTCATGGTACCACAATTTTGAGATCAAATTGAGCTAGTGAACCACCATTTTCTTTCCATACATGTCGAAACATGTATTTAAGAATTTTTAACTCAAACACCATTGTATCTTGTTGTACAATAGGAATGTCCATCAAAGCATATCCCTTCTATTCAAGTAAAGTGCCTTATTATTATTTTTTTCATTATGCACCATTATACCATAATTGTGTAATAGAAATGTATATCGCATTTATTTTGTTAAGCACCATTATAACTTATTGTATAATAGGAATGGTATGCAAAATTTCAATTAGGCACCATTAATTTCATCACCAATAATAATACATAGGGACATCACAATCCCCCACATTGGGAGCATCTCAAATATGTGATTCTCACATTTCTCAAATAATTGACTTTAAAGAAAAACTCTTTTTCTCATGAGATTTTTATAACAGCATTAGCTCATCTCACATTTTATCGCTTCAAATTGCTCCTTGGTCACACAAGTTTAAAAAATTTAACTTACGTTTCCAAAATATATCAACCCAAATTTCATGTCTATTTTTTCAAAAATATTGCATGGAACAATTTAGGTAATTCTCTTTTCTAGCTTTTTCACTCAAGTTCTCAAATTTTTATCTATTTCATTAAAGAACTCAATAATATGATCAATTAAATTCACAAATTTATTCATACATTTTTTTCCTTCATAGCTATTGGACATGAACCAAATATTTACCATATGCATTAAGAGCAAACAGCTAGCTCATTAATCCCATAAATATATATAGCAATTAGCATTTGGTAGTTTTTTATTATAATTATTACTAATGAAGCAGCTAATAATAATCATGGTATGAAATGGCGATTGCATGAGATTGCTAAAATACACAAGAATTACATATTTTTATGGTTATGGTTCAATCAAGCCATAGTGTAATCAAATGCTACAATGTATTTAACAAAAAGATCATGTATTAAAACATAACAATCATACATGTAAGCAATCAAGTTGAGAAGCACAGATAATTCAGCCACGACAGAAACTTGGCCGCATATTCTAATAGGTGTTTACGTGTAAGAGGGCTTAGCTTATTTGGTGAATCAAAGCATAGTCAAATGTATAGATGAGGTAATTAGACATGCTATACGTACCCATTTGTGATCTCAATATCTCTCAAGTATAATTAATCTCAAGGAAACATACCTTAAGTTCTAAAAAGAGTTAGACAAACCAAATATACTTATTTTCCATACAGAGGCACAAAATTGAATCGCCTTAAAATTGTTGTTCCTTAAACATTCTTCTCCATCTTCACCTCATGTTATTGTTGTGTATTGGTCACAAGATTAAATAAAAATAATAATTAGTTAACTTATAAAAAAATATTAATAAGAAATTATTATTAAAATAAACGTGAAAAACTTATTTACTTTAAAACAATTCATGTCCGACAATTCATGCCTCTATGTAGAGTAGATCGACCGATGTAACAGAGATATACATAGCATGTCACCCCCAGGATGCCATAGCTTTATAATTATACTTTATGAATCTGCGTTACTCATAGAGTCACTTAACTCAAAACATTCTCTACCCAAGAATATTTAGAAGATAAAGTAAAGTAAGAAAAATAGAAGAATGTGAAGGAACATACTTAGTTGAGTAAAAAGACATGTTCTACTTATATGACTCATGGTCATGTAACTCTCATTTCTAAGTTAATTATAGGAATAAATTGGGCAATTATTATGAAATAATGTGTCCTTAAATAAGACAATTAATGTACAATGGTTAGTTTGACAAAGTCTTCAATAGAACAATAAATTTAATTTATAAAATATAAGTTAAAACCCCTTTTTGGTCCCTAAACTATTGTACGGACCCTCGATTTGGTCCCTGAACTAAAAAAATCCCTGATTTGGTCCCTACTGTTTACCATTTTTACCCCAATTTGGTCCTTCCGTTAAAAATTGTGTGACGTGGCATGTTACTT